GGAATAAACTACTTCTGCAGCTAATAAATCTTGAAGCCTTTATCAACATGTGGGAAATAAATGTTCCCTCAGACACACTTACCCTAGGATAGGATTATTGCTTAAAGATGATAATATTGTGGAATAATCCTTTTATAAGTATTCTCTTTATAAAAAGCTAAAGGAAGAAAAAAATAATAATAATAAAAAAAAGAATCTTAAGAAAGCTGCAGGTATAAACCTTTATTTCAACTATGCAAACTGTTACTTTAAGCTTTAAAGCCTGTAATTCCACGAAATCAAAATTGATTCATGCCTTTGAAATATTTTTTAATACAAAGACATTAATTTACATTTTTTCTTATTATTTAGAAGTAAAGAATGCAGCTAGATCAAGTTACCCAAAAGGTTCATATCAATCCAAGGACGCAACTCCTAATTCTTTGGTTGGTGCCAAGTCCACTGAAGGAGTCCTGGAACCTGTTCCACTTGTTAATAACCGTAAAGGGAGCCTCTTTCTACCCAACAATCCCTCGCTGCTGCACCTTAACTTACAGAGTTCTGTTGAACAAGGAAAATCTACCTACTGTAGATTGCAAAGGGCTCTCAGCTTGCCTGTAAAATACCGCTACCACTCCCAAAAGCCCGGGTTGAACCAAGATCTCCGTAGGTAGCCCCGTAGTTGGATGTATAAGGCAATACAGATTGGTTTGTGCATGGGTTTGCAGTCTGTTTTCAATGTGCCTATGACATTACTAATGCTCTGTTAAGTGCTCACAGATGTGGGTTTCTCCAGATGTGGTGATTAATAAGTTAATCAAGATAGCTATTCAACTAATGTTTCTGGGTGGTTTGTGCTTTATCTTCCATATGGGTTATTTGCTCTGAAGCATTTACGCTGTAGGAAAAATGAGTTTACCAGGTATTCAATTTAGTGTGATGTTCAGTAATGCAAATGTTATTCAAAATTCCAGATCCTTTTTGGGTCCAAAACACAGTGTCTGTAAAGTATGCTGTTAGTGACCTGACAGGAGCCGTGAAGGAGACAGATTTATTTAAAAAATAGCCACAGAATAACAAAGGAGGAAGTTATGAACTTGCCCACTGTTTCTGAAAGACGTTCCCTTTATTTTGCTTAAAAAATGAAATGAGGATAAAAGTCAAGTAATATGTTGTTACAGATGTTCAGTTCCACATTAAGGCTGTTAAAATTACCAGCACATCTTAAATCAATTCATGGAACATTGTCTAGAGGTTATGTCATTGAAATAATGAATCCTCTTTACTCAAGAATAAGCAAACATGTTAAAACATCAGTGTAACTTTAATTTAAAAACTCCAGCATAAACCAGAGAATCTGAAGCCTCATTAGACTTGCCTGACATTTTTCTAGCACTGAGTCTTCCTGAACTGTAAAACTGGGAGATTCTGTGCCTATTAGAGAAGTGAGCACTGGGTTGTTGCAACAGTATATTAAGCATTATATTTAGGGATGTGCAAAAACAAGCTCTTGAATCTTATTAGAATTCAGAGGCTTGATTGAGTTCAGATTCTATAAAATTCTTGAACTTGTTTGCACTTTTTGTGAAAGCTGGAGAAGAAAGTATTCATAATATGATATAACTGTATTTTAATAAAACTCCTGTAGCATAAAGACATCAAACTACAAAAAAAATGGGGCACATTCTCATTAACAAAAGCACTAGGTCAAACATACAACATCAGAGTTGAGCTGTCATATATCACAGCCCATTATTCAAATATGGTCATCTTCATGAGAACAAGTACATTTAAGACTCCCTTTTAATTTAATTTTTATTCCTCTCATGCAGATGTGGGAACCTTGAAATGAAAATGGTATTTTATGAATATACAAAAATTTTACTAGATCTGTTTCTTTAAATATGCAGGAAATTGATAAGAGTATCTGAAGGATAATAGCTAAGTATGTTTTATATCCTACTTATGACTAAGAAGTCTCTTGTGAGTTACCATTTCAACACTTTTGGGATCAAAGCCATAGGTAATGGTCATCATTACAAACCATTCATATATTTCAGTTTCGTATATCGCCTTTCCCCATTTTTATGGAATGGCATCTCTGAACTGCAGAAGTAGCCCAAGCTCTGTGTGCAGATTTCATTGAAAAAAAACAAAATCTTATTTTGAATATSTTATGATTAAGATAGATCATCTTTCATTGCTGCAATGAAAATAAAGGGCTCCTTTGCACTGCTTTAGCAAGCTATGAGAGCACTGAGAAGGTTTGCTAAGAGGTATTAGCTTGTGAGCCACGTTAGCGTTGGACTTTACAAGTAATTCCTGACAGTTGCATAGTGTGGAGATGACAAGCACTTATCAAAAGAAGGAACTTATTTATTGTAGGTGCAATATGAAAAATGACCGTAGATTGCTAAAATCTAGGTCTGCCATTCTGGATGATTACTTGATTTTGTTTTAAGCTAAGATTTTCACCAGGACTTTGTTTTATAATTGGCTGGCAGGGTCGTGGCTGATAGCAATGGGGGGAAAAAAAAAAAAAAAGTTGTTGGGCCATACCTGGCAAAATAGCCTTATAGCACCAACGTCTAGTGTTTGAAAGGATCAGGCATGAGTCTTATTAACTAGCTGAAAATGTCAAAAAGTACTCTTATTTAATAGTGTTTTCATTTTTTTTTAGAGAAATATTTCTGACTGTAATATAATCTAAACTGTCCTCTACTAAAACAAATTGGCAAATAATCCTGATGAGCAGAGCTTCCTTATACTGGCAAAAAAAATATAACAATACACTTTTCTTATAGTGCAAAAGTGAATCCATGATAAACATTCTGAAACCCTGTGGTATTAGTATAAATAAAGTGAAACTCGGATATTTTACTACCAGAAGTAGAAACGTATCATTTGTAGCTGGTTTCTGTAAAGGAACATTTTGTGTGTTTCTTATTCCTTTGATCTTTCAAGTGGAGAGTCCACCAGGGTAGAAGTGAATATTTATATCCAATAAAGAACAAGAGAGCACAGTTTATGCCTTGAATACAGCTTATTGCCTGTGTGGAATATTACACAAATAACTTCTTGATGAACAAGTTAAACAAGACTATGCCATATTGAAAAGAGTGATTTGCAGGAAATGCTATGAGATGTGCAAGTAGTGGAAAATAATTTAATAATCAGAAATGGGAAAATTCTACTAACAAAATATTCCTGTAACTATTCACTTCAGGAAAAAAAATAGATGAAGACTGAAGTGATTCTAGTTTCGAGCTGTATGTTTTTGATAATTTTCTGTGTACTTAGCTCTCAGACAAACAAAGAGCAGTACTTAAGCAGKCACTGGTAAGCATTTCCACTACTGGAATCTGAAGGAAAAAAAAAGAAAAAAATAAAGAGAGAAAGAGAAACAGTCAAATCAGTATAACATAACTTTGTCTTTAGGAATTCCTAAAGGAAAAGAAAGTAAGTTAAATTAGTGAAATAAATTATTGTAAGACAGCCATTGCTTGAATATTATTCCTATACATTCCTGATTTTTTTTTTTTTTTTTTTTTTTTTTTTTGCCTTTTATTTTTTTTTTGGTTTTAACTTCCTGGATGCCTTAGGTGATGTGAGGGCACTTAAAAAGACAGAACATCTGTCTTTTCAGGGCCCAGGCCTTCAGTCTTGGTCAAGGCAAAATGAAGTTCCGTAGCAGATTGTGGAACCCAGACAGACATGACAGGCTAGAATGCAGACTGTAATAAAATAGTGTCAGAGAGGGTTATTGCAGAAGGATATTGCTTAATTTGTTCCTAGATAAATCTAGGGCAGGTGACATATGTCCAAGTTTGCTTTTTTAGGCTGTTCCTACGTAGCTCATCTCAAATTGAATTTTTTTTTTACAGCCTTTGCTTGTGCACTGCTAATGTGTATTAAGCTCCTTTAATACAGATACTACTACTACTAATAATAATCTTTTTCCTTTTGGCTCTAAAGTAACAGCTTCCTAGGCCTCAGTTACATAATCTGCTAGTTTGTTTTTCAGATCACAATAGATGGAAAAAGATGTCTTTTTTTTTTTAAATAATAATTCAACATTAGTCTGAATTTGAGAAAGCAGAGAMAATGTGATTCCCTTTGAAAGCAAATGCAACCTTTATGTGCAAATTGTTAAGTGCAGTCACCATCTTAAAACCATAAAGCTGATGGTTCATACTTACAGATAAGTTATTAGGAAGCTGCACTTTTTTAAGCAATGAGTATTATGACTTAGGTTGTCCAAGAGTAGTTCTGACTGTCAAAATYGTAAGTGATTTTTACATCTGGAAATTGATTTGTCATTGGAAATGCTCCTCATCCTCATTAAAAGAGTGCGTAACACATGCATCCTGTTCTATAGGTATTGTGTCCCCACCTCCATTCAACCTCATTGTGTTCCCTGCTGCTGTAGCAGCTCCCCTTTGTGAGAAGGGTGGAGTGAGGAGGTCTGAGTTGTGCTGAAGAGCTGTGCACAATGGCAGGCAGCACTCCCAGCCCCGACTAACTGAATCATTGAACATCAAGGCATTGAATATTTTACATCTCTTCATGAAGACTCTGCTGTTTGACATGTGAAGAGCAAGAACCAACTGGTGTCTGGTTCATTAGCAAAAGCAGGCTGGCAGCTGTTATGTTGGTATTGCAAACAGCACTTTATCTTTCTGGAAATATAGCAGAGCACTAATTCTACTCTCCTATAGCACAGATTAACTGAAAATAACTCTAAGAATAACCCGAATGTGGTTCCCCTCTTTTGTTTTTGAAGTATGAAACCAATTTGAACGCCTGTGTTCAAAACCCTGGTATTCTTCCCTGCTTCTCCTTCTCCTTCAAACCAATCTCTTTGACTAACATGTATTTGATTTTTATTACTGTTGGGACTATGTTAGCAATGAAGTATCAGTGCGTGAATGGACATAGAGTGTGTGTTCTTTGCTACTTCACTTGTACTTTGTATTGCACCTGGAGCAGTACCTAATCTCATGAGTTCCTTATATTTCCAGTTGAAGATGAGCAGCCATCGACACTCTCACCCAAAAAAAAGCAGCGAAATGGAGGCATGCGAAATTCACCCAACTCTTCACCCAAACTCATGAGGTAAGACTGTTAGAAACTCCTATCTTCATCTGCTTTCTTCCCTCCTTCCTCTTCTCCTCCCCCCACATCAAAAATAAGGGGAAGGGGTGGAAAAAAAAAAAATTGTTAGATGGTTCCTGAAAGGCTGAAGTATTTATTCTGTCAGCTTGTCAGCAGTTAATGATAGAGCTGAAAAAAATTCTGTCATGAAAAACAGTTTGAAAAGCTGTTTGAAAAATACATAGGCTTTAAAGTCTTAGCTGTCACCCTGTCCTGTCCGTGTGTAGTTCTTAAACAGCAGTGGCACTAATGATAGCACTAACCAATCAGAGGAGCTCCTGTGGTTAGTTTGCCTCAGGCAAGTCTCTTTTTGTTGGATTCCCTCTGAGTACTGTTTTCTGTACTTAAGGCCATATGTGAGATGTATCATCACAATCAAAAATGAACCTGAATATTACCTTCCTTTTATCCTGTCGATTGAAATCAAATTTCTGTTAATTGATTTAGACTGATAAAAAAAAGTCTAATAATCTATGTACTTGCCAAAGCAAAGTTCAAAACTAATGTGATTTTACTCAGGCTAAAAGCACATTAATTATGGAATACAAGGATTTTTTAAAGGATAGTATATACACCAGAAGTGGATGATGAAAACATCATCTTGTTAGTGATATTTTCCCCTTGTTTCTATATGTACAGCAATAAGCTTTTGTATAACTATATAGTTTCCTTCGATAGGACAATTGACTCTAAGAGAAAATTTGTTAGAAATAGATTTGCAACAGGAAAAATGGAATCTATTAAGATAACATGGCATTTCCATTCTTTCTTGCTGTGCTTCACCCTTTGCCTGCTCAAGTCAATCAGAACAAGATCAGATGCTAGCTGTGGAGGTTTCCACAAGCAGCCTGTCTTTGCTGTTATTATGTATAGCTCAAGTAGCTAGGCTAGATAACTCGGTCCATAATTTTATCCAGAACTGAATTTCATAGCCGAGATTTTCTGCTACTGTGCATACAAACAAATGCAAGCTTATTTGCATATATAAACAGACACATTCATGCAGTATGGAGTTTGGGTGGATGTGTGTTAGTACAGAAACTCTGTACTCACTTCAATTGTGAAAGAAACATGGAAAAAAATAATATGAATATTTAGTTCTTCATATATRATCACTTACCACTCTTATTGTTAGCAATGACTTTGTTCCTTTAACAATTCTGGATATGACTAGATAATTTTCCTGTCTGTATTTCAGTCAGTTGACTGGGAAATGCCTTGGCCAGTTGAGGGAGCATCCATATTTGTTTATTGTTACAGCATTCTAGGGCATGTTCAAGGACGTAACTTCTACAAGTCGTCTTCATTTCTGTTTAGACTACAGAACCAAAAGTGAGATTGATTCACAGCCTAAAATGCACCCAGCTGTGTCCTTTTTTTTTTTCATTGACCATCTATTTCTGTTAAATGTATCATTAAAAGTTCTCTGCCTTCCTGTTAGCTCAGCCTTGCTCATGTGACACTGATTTACATACTTGTTTACAGTTTATGAGGAGGAATAAAATGAGCATACTGGCAAGCTTCTCATTTTGTGACGCCAGTTGTCATGTTAGCATCATTTCCAATTTACTCACCTTTGGGCATTCTTTTTATCTCCTGCTGATAGTTTTATCCATTTCAAGTTCTAAAAATGCAGGAGACTYTCTCCTTCCCAAATCTTAATTTTGGGGAAATAAATAAAAAGAAAGAGAGAGCAAGAGAAAGAGAGAGCTGAAACATTTGGAGCCGAGTGCACTGTCCCTGTTTGCTATGTAAAGTATGCCTCATTTCTTTGATCTTGAGTAATAATAATTCTGGGGAGTTATACTGTTTTCATATGCTTCAAAGCTGTGTCAAAGTTTTGCTGCTTAAGGGTACTTCTTTATTCTATTGGCTCTTGGGTACTGAGATGACAGGTCCTCTGTACTAGGTGCAGGCTTTTTCAAGTCATAGCCTTCAGCAAAACATCAAATTACCAAATACAGGGTAACATACTTCTACACAAATGCCTTTCCTGTAGATATATTATACCATATATATTAAATACTTTAGTGTTACACGGTACATTTTATGTGCAATAGAAAGTGATGGTTTGAGGTAGCCTTAGGGGTACTTTTTTTCCACAAGCAGAAAAAGCTAGTGTATACCGTATCAAGTATGGTTTTTACAGGACTTTCTGCCCGAAGGCCTTTGTAAATAAGTAATGATCAACAGATTGGCTGTGGGTTTTTGAAAAGCATGCCTGTGTCAGTTTGCATGATGGGGGAAGATTTTCAAAGTGGAGCCTGCTTTCATTGCCTGCTGAAGAGGGACTGAGGGAGAATAGTCGTCCTGAGCCTGAGCTGTCTGCTCAGTAGCACATCAGAATTGCTAAATACAGGTCGAGCAGCGCGTGGAGAACTTGCCAGGCTTCCAGATCCAGTCGCTGTTTTCTCCCTCTTCTTGCTTGCTGCTAAATTCATTCACCAGCCCCGTACTGGCACCCTCAGACTCTCCCCAGCCCCGGTAGTCTCTTTGTGGCATCCTTTATCTACAGTGACTTAACTTTGGTTCAAGGTCCTAARTAAGGGAAAGCTGATTGAATCGGAAGAAAACTCTGTTTAACTTTATTGCAAGTGTAATGTTCAGATTGTTTTCTCCTTTCCCATAAAGAAAAGTGGGCTATATTATCTGCTGTTTTATATACTTGTAAATTACCTAAATTGACAGATACTTGCTTGTCTGCCCTGAAATCTTTACTGAATGTCAACTAAAAGTATACAAGAGATAAAACAGTGAAAGCACTGTCATGCCTGTAGCTGATATTTACCTTCAAATTTTTTCCTCTGAATTTACTTTAAAAGCTCCTTTCCAAAGCCACCTTCACCCCATTGCTTCAACAAAAAACGGGTGGTTACTTAGTAGTTTCTTCAACTACAGTCCCAGATCTGGAGGCGGATAGTGGGCAAGAAGGCTGGAGCATGTAAGGAAAGAATAACATGTGCAAAACTCATTTGTAAATTGTAATCAGAGCTATGACTTAAAACCATTTCCTGAGCAGCTCTACAGCTAAGATAATCTTGAAAATGCTGCACAAGTTTTCAGATGTCCATGGTGGCTGAGGCCAATTGTCTCATTTCATAAGATAAAACTATGTGACTCTTGCTATCAGAGGACAGAAGCCAGGTCACAGTTACTCTCTGTGAAACTTGTGGGCATGGGACCGATAGGTGCTTATGCTGGACTCATCAGAAGATGGGAATTTTTGAAACCAACCTGCAGATAAATCCATATCATCAATTGCACAGATTGAAGGCACCTTTGCATAATATTGCCTATAGATGCCAATAAACTGCTAACTGAAACAGATAGTAGATTATCAAATGTTCTCTGCAGACATCAGAAATGGGTGAGATTCACAGTTGGAAAGTCACTAATTTAACCAAATCCTTCATCACATCAAATGACATCAACAGAATCACTGTGATATAACCCTGGAAGAACCTAGTGGTCAGACAGGGACTAGTATTCTAATTGCAACTCTAGCTGTAAATGCAAATTAACTGAAAAATACTGGGCCACTCTACATTGTGATGACTGCTCTCTGTCTGATTTACATGAACAGACTCATTAAAGTCACAAGAGCATATGCCTTCTTCAAATGTAGCTAAAACTCCAACAAGGMAGACAAAAATGGACACTTCTCCATTGGGAATGTGAACACAGATCCCTATTGGATAAGGAGAAAATCGTGAGTGGGAAATGAAAGGAGAAAAAACAGTATGAGTAACAGAATAACAGTCAGATACGGAATATCAGATTTCCTTCTTCATAAGGCATAGACGGAAAAGCAGAACCATTTGATGTCTCTTACAGCATGAAGTGATAAAAAATCCCCTGTTCGTTCTCTCAGTCACAGTTTTTAATGTATGTTATCAATGGACAACCAAGTTAAATATGAGGAGGGTCTATCATACAGAGTATTAATGACAATAGTTTTTTTTTTTTTTTTTAATGTATCATTTTGGATTCTAGAGTGAGCAGTAAAAAGTCCTGGATTTAAAACAGAAAAGCGACTTAAAAGGACTTTTACTGGGGTCTGAATCCTCGCTAACTGCTTTGGTAGCAGATACTGCACAAGTGGAATACACCGAGTTGAAGGAAATGTCAACTCGGCTGAGTCAAACTACCTCTTAATGCAAGAACAAATAGCATATGACAGGGCCCAAGGGGCCTGAAGAGCAAATAAATAGTTTGTCCCTGTCCACTCTGAAGGTAGTGGTGTAGTTGACATAGGCCTCTAGACAAGTAGCATACTCAGCAAAGGGTCATTATCATTAATGTCCCTGATCACATAAGAATCAGAGCCATCAGAGGATGCTGAGTTTTCAGTTTGTTGCCAAAGAGAATTTCATAAGCCTGAGGATTTTTCTTGATCAAGGATCCAAAATAATTCCCAACCAAATCGTAAAACTTGCTCCAAGACTGTCAAAACCCAGCAATACTTCAGAAAAAAAAGTCAGCTTTTCAGCACACTTTTCTGGAAACCTAATAAGAACCTTTAGAAAAAGGAAAGAGAAAACCTCTTACCTGTTTTTCTGAAGCTGGCTGTAGCACTTTATAAACGCTGGCTGTGTGCATCTACCTCCTCATGCCCTGCCCAGCCATACTCAGATGTACACACGCATTTTTGCTAGTGCCGCCCAGCAAGGGTTTGTATTGTCCAGGCCATTGTAATTGCACTTCCTTAACTTTGGAACAAAACAAGGAAGAGGAAAAAAAAGAAAAAAGAAAAAAGAAAAAAAAAAAAGATAATCGGTCTGTAGGGGTGAATTTTTCAGTTAAAAATGGTGAAGATTAATTTGACTATCTGTGACTCCCTAAAACCAGCTTTGAAGACAAGATCTCATGACCATAGTAATTATTTATATTTACATCTCTTAGCCTTGGAGATTTCTATAATTTATTCTAAACTTTTCATCACTTGTTAAGGATGTGCAAGG